CACAATTTATAAGCCACAAGGCAACTTTCTTTGTCCACTTTACTGTTTTCCGAGGAAGAGAATAATAGGCCAAGTACTGATCAGCTCTATCAACTCCCTTCATGAACATATTATACTCGGAAATACAAACAGGCTTCTTTACCTGTCCATGTCTCCTTTGAACATCAACCATGCTCGAATTGTGAATTGTGGAAATCATATTCACAACACGAGTATCCCTATCTCCAAAAAACAGTTCTGCTACTTCAGACACTTGCGTTGGGTCCGATGGAATTTGCTTCACCCCTGGATTTCCAGTAAACTGTCCCAAAGCAGGCGTTTTGTCTACTTTTCCCCATGTGGCTGTCCCCGCAATGTTGCTACCCACACATTCGTCGGAGCTACGTTCACTTTCACTGTCTGTGGTCACAATTTTTTGTTCGCCCCCTGCCACACTCACTATCAGATTGTGAGTCGCTATCACTAGCAGGCTCACAAGGGACGTCAGATAGCTCATCGGAGAAGAAGTCAGATATTTCTTGTTCTCCAAGAAATTGCTTGGGTGTCAACTGCTTTGGTCTTTGATCCATATTGACAGCTTGCTACGTAAAGCTTGCAGGGGCATAGAGTTACAGCGAGGTCTAGTAACTGATGGGTCAGCAGACATTCCAGAGCCTTATAACACAGCTGCAAGCAGCTACGTGCTAGCTAGGTGGAGCCAGAGAGATGTATAGTGTGTTGCAACTTATCGTGTTTTAAAAACTTGTTAACACACGAACGGTCCGCCATGTTTAAAAGCAAAAAAACCTTTTAAATGGTGCGCGGTCCACAAAGCGTTAAGTTATTACAAGTTATTAAATGATATTAAAAGTACAAGTCCCAATGCCTATCTGAGAAGATACAACTTTAATTCTTTTTAATGCAAGTAATTTTAAATTCAGTTAATTTGTAATTTGTAACTGTGTCCCACATGTATAAAAATTAAGAATAAATGAGATTGTGAATATGTGCTAAGTAGTGCATGGTCCTTCTTATAGCTTGTGCATTTCTACATATTTTAAAATACTGAGAAGTGCTCAACCTTGAGCAAACCAATTCATATGGGAATAGTAACTGGTGGTCATGAAAGAGCTTGGCCAGGGGTTTACTGAGCAGTGCATGTAACCTGTGGGAAACAGAGGTCAATATGTTTATGCATCTGCAAAAGAAAATACTGTATTGCCTCTGATATCTACATTGATTTTCTTGGCAGTTACTTGTCAAGTGTTTGAAGCTGGAACAAGACGAATTGTTCGGATATTAATAGGGAACGTAATGGAAAGATGTTTGCAGAATAATTCGGAACAGTAAAAAATGCAACAAAAGGGCTGAATTGTGTGGAATTCTGAAGGATGCAATTCAAAACAAGTTACAGAATGTATAAAAATTATGACATGAAGTGAATCCAAGGAGCAAAACATTGAATTTAGAAGACAACTTATTTGAACAGGATTTCCATGCTTTACCTAATTGTATTCCTATTGAAGACCATGATTTATGGAGAAAGCCAACAAAATTATACTGCAAATGGAAGCTGAATGTAAATGTTCAAATGATTAGTTGCACAAAAGGTAAAACACTTTCAGTGCATAACAGATCATCACCAACAATGGTGAATGTTCTTCTGAATACATAAGAACTGCTCATTGACAGAAGTGTGGCACCAGTACTGGAACATTATGCACCACAGTGCAGTATTCAGTGTGGAGGAAATTAGACTTCTTTACAATGTTTAGCCCAATAAACATGAGCAATTGAAGAGCAAACATGTCCTAATAGAAAGAAATACAAAGATTCATTGACTGTGCTGCTGTGAAAAGTTACAGCCTATATGGGTAACTTTGAAAGACCATGTTGCAAGAAAAATAAAGTGAAACACTTATTTAAGGGACTTGCATTTAAGGCAAATTTTTCATGGTTCCAGCCAAAGCTTCATTTTACATACGACAGTTTGATTTGTCTGCATGTTTTGGATCCCATTTGAGTTTTGAAGGGAATTCTTCTTTATGTTCTAACTCGTGTACGGCCACCCTTACATGTTCAGATTAATCATATGCATGGCATACAATGCAATGTCTGTCTCAGCCCATTCTTTGCTCATTCTCTGTGTCAGTTGGAAGTGGATATTGTTCTTTTTCATAATTTATAATTTATGTACATCCATAAACTGTTACACAAGTACAATTGGACAAGTCAGTATTAAGCCATCTAAAACAGTATAAGTCAACAACTCTTAAAATGTTCAAACTGATACACAAGACTATGAACAATTCAATCATCGTAGGGTGATTGTCCCCCTGCTGAAGCTAGCAACCGCAGATGACAATCCCCAATAATCCAGTATAAAGCAGCACATACACTTATACCATCTATACCACACCACATCAGAAGCAACCTGAGCTGCCAAACTACCATCCAACATTGTGTTGTGTTTGAGTGTCATAGTTTTTTTGGAAGTTATTTTGAAGTAACGAATGGCTGTAGCACTGAAAGGTTAACAGTAAGTGAGGAAGTGAAAATTATTCACTGGGTGGAGTGGAATGAAATGAAATTGCAGAGTGTTTTGTGCTGCTCCTGTTGTCATTAAGTAACATAATTCTGGAGAAAGCTTGAGTTTTTGAAATGCAAAGCTGGTGTGGACACATTCTCAGAATCGAAAATCTTTCATTTTATTAAGTGAACAAGGTACAGTGTCTTATTATTGATTTATTTACGCTTAAAAGTAATTTTGGCCTCTGTATTCCTAAACTCCCGTTTCATATACAAAAACCTTGTTCCCTAGGCAGACCTCAATTTGGGATTTCACTGTGCAAAGAAATGTATTTGCTGGTATTTATTTTCATCCATTCATATAACAGCACTTTCAGTTTCCAATACGATGCAGTGAATAATGAGCTGGCAAAGGTTGCAGCCTCAACGTTTTAGTTGTATATTTTTCTGTCCAGAATACTTTCTCTGGAGTCATTGTATAGAACAGGCATGTCCAACGCGTCGATCGCGGGACAATTTTTCGTTGATTTCATAGGCCTATAAGGAAATTATACATGAAAAGCATGTAAATTCACTTGTAATATAATATGATTATATTCAGATTTTGAAGGGAAAATACATATTAAAGTAGTCTGTACTTTCAGTGTATGTTGCTTTTACAACAAACATCATGTGTCATGTTATTTTTACCAATATTCTTGCTTGAAGTGAGGTATGACGATAGGAGGGGGTGGTAGATCACTGTCAGTTTTGACACTAAAAAGTCGATCACAACCTGTTTGAAGTTGGGCATACCTGCCTGGTATAGAACATGCAGACTGGAAGCCCTTGGTCTGTTATTATTCATTGGAAATAGGAATGTCCCAGTGGTGAAGATTAGAAAATGGAATGTCATAGATGCAATCAGGATTGCAATACCTTGAACTCTATCTCAAATTTATCTCCAATTCTTTCTTAAAATAGGGCCTTAGCTTAGAGAAATCTGCCATTGAGAAAGAGGATGAAGTGACTGGAGAAAGCTGCAAGGGAGAATGAAATGCATAAATGAATTCCAGTTTTACCACCTGTGTCATTGTGAGCAGCAAATGGTCATGTTAAAAATACATGGTTGCTGTATGACCCAGCAGCTTAACCAAGTTCGTCACTTAGTGTGTCATATGAATCCCATAAGTTTCAGTTCCAAGGATAAGTTGTTCTGTTGTTTTAGTATGGTTGTATGTGGTGCCTTAAAAAGAACAAAATAGAGACGTTTGTTGAGACTGGAGTGCAGAATTGTGTCAGTCATGTCTGATCATATTATATGTAACTGCTTATTTTTGAATGAAATATGACATGCTGTGGACATGCACAGGGCTGGTAAGTCTAGTTATATGTGAACATTTTATGTAACAATGATTTTACAGTGTATTTTAATATTCAGTGGAGGACCCCTGTATATCCTATAGCTCCCATGATTACTTGCAGACCTGCAAATTGAATCCTATTTGATGGTAGACTGTGCAAGCTTATACTAGCCGTAAAATTAATGATTTGTTGTTAGGAGTTGGAATTGTGCATCGGATGCATGCAGACACCAGCTAATGTGAAGCTACAGAAATATTGTGATGATTTGACAGTACAAGGAGATTCCTGCACTACCTGCTCCTGTCGTCCACTGTGGTGCCTCACCTGTATGGGAAAATGGTGATTGTCCTGTATCTTGTAATGGATAAAAATAGGGTTATGCAAGTATAATAGCACACACTTAACAGTCACATTCAGCAAAAGGAATTGGCATGCCCAAGTACTTATTGTCATAAGCCCAAGAAGTATTTATGATCTGTAACATTACTGGTATATTTTTTATTTAAGTATTTGTTTATATGCATATAGACCTATAAATTTCAGGGGTAGAGTTTATCATCAAGAATTAGACTTCAGTAATCTTCACTTGTATTGTTAAATATGAGGAAGACTGTTGATTGTTATATTCAAGGTGTTAAATACATGCACAGTGTCTCAGTTCTTGTTTAATTACTTTGGAAAACATAAGACTTTCAGAAAAGTGTGCCATGCATAAAATGTATTCCATTTTTCCTCTAGGGCTTTTGTTCAGTCATGTTAACGTGAATAAACTATAGATGAAATACAAAACTATACTGAAATTTTGAAACATGAATAGTTTCCTTCACTCTTTGATGTTGAACAGATCAAATAACTACATATGGTGACAAACTTACCATACTGCAGATGCAGAGAAGTCATATACATGAAAATTTAATGGGTGCTCTGTTTTTCCTACATAAGTATGCTAAGGTTTATTTTAGTAAATTTATTTCATCATACTGTTTAGATTTCATTTGCAGTTCCCATATTTTCTTTCAGCACCACTGTTATAGTCATTTTTTGTTTTGCTATTTTTACTGTTTTCCCATACAGCTTTGTTTTATGGAGGTAGAATAATTCTTCTTTATATGGCAAAGTTGGGAGTAACACAAATACTTATTATCTTTATTTATTTTTTCTTTCTGTCTTCTTTTTTAGGTTTGCATCACGCCAAGATCAGAACCATCCAGAAACATGGATGAGTTCGAAGGCTACCTGTCCATTGTGTCGCAGTCGTTTTTGTATGCTTGATGTGTCTCAGGTGCAACCTATGTGATCCTGTTTTTGTCACTGGGAGACTGTTCCTGATAATTATACAGTCTGTATTAATGTTGCTACACAGTAAAGCTTGGATTCTTGTACATTAATTCTGTGATATTGTATCCGATACAACTGTGTGGAGAATGCCAGTGAATAAATATATTTCTTTTAGCTTTATACACTGTTCTTTATTCATATTTGTGTCCCCTAAAGAACTAAGAATTTGAACATCATATACGATAGATATCAGAATTCTGATATCGTAGATATCAGAATTCTGAAAGCACAGTATATGAGTCAAAAAATATTAATCATATTCAAGTTCAGAAGGAACCTTCATATCTTCCAGGAACTTCAGCAGAGATGGAGCACTCACTCGTAAGTCAAATATGGCCAGATACAAGTATGATTCAACACTCAAGACACTTTCAGATTATTTTCTCAAAATTGTCTCCAACAAGTTTGATTAAATTTCAGTAATTTATGGTAACCATCGTCCTAAATAATACTGTGTAGGTAGTGCCAGAAAAATAATGGTACACTCTTTAGCAGTCTAAATGTGAAATATAAATTTTCTTAAAATGGCTTGACCAATTTTTATTAAATCCTATCTATAGAGGCAATGGACCTAATTAATATTTTGTAGCCAAAACATCCTAAACATAATGGGATTTTAACAACGCATGCCTGACTTGGATCCAGCCATAAAATATTTTTATTAATGATAGCTCTGACAATTATGATTAGATTTCGCCAATTTGTAGTACTTCTGCAGGTGCTACAGTCCGTGGCAAATCTTGGTCTCTTTTTATGATTGCTTGCCCCTGATCCTGTTCCTCTGACTTTTGTCACCAGTTTCTAATGCCCACTGTCTTCAAATCTACTGAATCCAGCCACCTGATAGCAGGTCTGCCTTCTCGTCGAATACCCTCTGAAGTGCCCTATTTCTATATAGGGACAGAAAATTCCAGGTTCCCAGTCCTTGATTTTTCTACGTCATGTTAGCTGTTTCCATCTGGCTGCAACTGTTAAAAAGCTTCTCAACAATTAAGTTTCTTTTTATGGGATGGTGCTGTCAGTGTCACACCCAACCCCCAACCTGGAGGGCCAATGTATCGTTTTCATTCTGGAGCGTCACATTTGAACTGTTCAGCATGGAATACCCTAGTGGTTATGCTGATGCTGGCATGGCTCTCAGGATCATATGACCATGCAAGCCCTGCCACTGCAGGGAAGACTGGGGAATCTTTGTAGGGCTGATACTCCCAAATAAAACTTCTTTGATCTCATTTATTATAAATTAACAATCTTCTTTCTGGTGGTTGTTAATATATACTAAAAATTGCTTGAATTTAAAATAGACAGTTTTTCTGAAATACAAGTATTTATTTTAGGATAGTATATGGCTTAGAACTATAAAGCAAATACAGTCAACTCTCGATTATCCGGTGGCGGATTAACTGGTTTGCGGCTTAAACGGGGCTACTCAGGCTTTTTTGAAGCTTATATGTTGTTTAATATTCATTCACTTTTCTTTCACATGGTGAGTTGTAACACTATTTTCGCACTAGTGTGAACCGAGCTCTGCATTCTTTGTTCCCGTTATGCTCTATGAAACCTGGAATATACTACGATATTTGTAGTGGACGTAAATGCATTTTTCAGAAAAATTAACATTTCAGAATGCTCTAAAGTGCATGATATCACAATTATTTTGATTTACTCTTACAATTTCCACAAGTTCCGCAAATTTTCTCTTTTCGAATCTTCCAATTATCAACTTTATTATCGTTTTTGACGTATGTCAAGGACATATATATACTTTACATGAAAGGTATGCACCCCACAATACTAGTGCTCAAATATTAGAAAGGGAAATCAGTG